ATACTTGCTTAAAAAATAAAAATAAAAACATGCGTTTTGGAAAATTTTTGTAGCATCTTCTGTTTGGATCATCGTAATCATCAGCTCCCCACAGCGAGACTGAAACGCCTCGAATGTTGCTTCATTTGTCTCGGTTGGTGCCCCGGAACCGGATGTGGTGGCAGAGCAGGTTACTCGACAGTATATGGTACTGAATGTGAATGTGGGAGAGAGAGAGAGAGCGAAAAAGAGAGAAAGAGAGCGAAAGAGAAAGAGGAGAAAGAGAAAGAGGAGAAAGAGAGAGAGAGCGAAAAAGAGAGAGAGAGAGCGAAAAAGAGAGAAAGAGAGCGAAAAAGAGAGAAAGAGAAAGAGGAGAAAGAGAAAGAGAAAGAGGAGAAAGAGAAAGAGGAGAAAGAGGAGAAAGAGAAAGAGGAGAAAGAGAGTGAAAAAGAGAGCGAAAAAGAGAGAAAGAGAAAGAGGAGAAAGAGAAAGAGGAGAAAGAGAAAGAGGAGAGAGCGAAAAAGAGAGAAAGAGAGCGAAAAAGAGAGAAAGAGAGCGAAAAAGAGAGAAAGAGAGCGAAAAAGAGAGAAAGAGCGAAAAAGAGAGAAAGAGGAGAAAGAGAAAGAGGAGAAAGAGAAAGAGGAGAAAGAGAAAGAGGAGAAAGAGAAAGAGGAGAAACAGAGAGAGAAAGAGGAGAAACAGAGAGAGAAAGAGGAGAAACAGAGAGAGAAAGAGGAGAAAGAGAGAGAAAGAGGAGAAAGAGAGAGAGAAAGAGGAGAAAGAGAGAGACAAAGAGAGAGCGAAAAAGAGAGAGAGCGAAAAAGAGAGAGAGAGCGAAAAAGAGAGAGAGAGAGCGAAAAAGAGAGAAAGAGAGCGAAAAAGAGAGAAAGAGAGCGAAAAAGAGCGAAAAAGAGCGAAAAAGAGAGAAAGAGAGAGAAAGAGAGCGAAAAAGAGAGAAAGAGAGAGAAAGAGAGCGAAAAAGAGAGAAAGAGGAGAAAGAGAAAGAGGAGAAAGAGAAAGAGGAGAAAGAGAGAAAGAGGAGAAAGAGAGAAAGAGAGAGAGAAAGAGGAGAAAGAGAAAGAGGAGAAAGAGAGAAAGAGGAGAAAGAGAGAAAGAGAGAGAGAGAGAGAGAGAGAGAGAGAGAGAAAGAGAGAGAAAGAAGAAATCTCTGGTTCGTATATAAAAGGGGACAGAGAACTTCAAGGAAATGAACTTTATATTTTTGAAAATTCAAAACCTCAAAAAAAATATGCCAAATAATTAGACATTTGCTCTATTTAAGCCAAAAAATAAAAAGTTAAGATTTGACATTTGACATATCTTTCACGGAAATCTTATTTTACGTACTTTTTTAATATTGCCTTTGTTTCAATAAAAATTATCATCCTACAGTTTTTTTCTCCCAAAAAATGCCTCCTTAAATTTTGAAAAATGCACATTATTTAAAAAAACTAATCTTGAAGAACAGAATCCATTAATAAAAATGCTCTTTAAAAATGAAAGCGATAGAGGGATTGGAAAAAAATTAACTTTGCAATTTTTAAATAATCAGAAGTTTTAATAAGAATCATATTTGCAGTATTTTTATCAGAATACATTACTCTTATCTACCTAAAAATGAAATACAAAAATTTGGAGACATTTGATTTTAAAATTAAATTATTCGTTTAAAATTGAAAGCATTTGATACCAACTCAATCGATTGCGGAATATCAACTTTAGTGAAATTCGATGGGCGGTTTAGACGCTAGTGTTAAAGACGGTCTGAAGGATGATTAGATTTCCGAGAACTACTTTTTCGTTGCTGCAGATTTTGACTGCTCAACGCATTAGGGAAAGTCTTTTATTACCTATACACAAAAGATTTATTCATATTTTAGGTCTCGGAGGCCAACAAAACGAGATCTTTTGTCCGAAAAATAGTACAATATTGTACACCAATACTTTCAGCAATACATTCTCTATACCAGATACAGTGGGACGTGGATTATCCGAACTAAATGGAACCCCGTACAGTTCGTATATTTCACAATTCGGATAATCGAAAATGGTAAAAATGTCAAGTGTGCATAAAATGCTGTATATAAAAAGTTTCTTTGAGAACAAGTAACATTAAAATACTGCATTTCACATACACAATCCTGTAGATAATAAACATTGGCATACTGAAGTACTTAAAGGTGATGTCATTGCCAACAATATTATTTAATGCAAATAGCAGCTTTCGATGTTAAGCCAATCGAAAAGCTGCTATGCATTAAATTAAATTATTGGCAATGAGCAACATCTTTAATTATTTTAAAATGCCAAAGATATCACACTACAACACCTACACTTAAAGGTGGTAAAAATAGTTTTTGATAAAATTAACAATAATAATTAAAAATAATATTATAATAATAATAATAATAATAATATAAACATGACTATAGTACAATAATTTGTTAATATTTTTTTCACTATCAATCATATCGGAATCATTCTCAATATTCATTATTACAAAAGAATATGAATACGTATAGTATACGGAACCTAATTAAAAAACCAAATATTCACAGAATATGAGTTCAGATATTAAACGTTTCCGGATGATTGACGTTCGGATACGTAATACGGAACGAAACATACAAGAATGTAAACATATCCATGTGGGAACGACTTGCAGTTTGGCCTTCTATGTGTCACAGTTCGAAAGAGTCATTAGTATTTGTCATATCCAGAAGCGCCCTCTACCGGGGTGAATCGCTTCCTCAGCTGACTCCCGTTTGCAAGAAAAAGGCGGGGTGGCAGCCTTGTCTTTCCCACAGTCCACGTGTCGCAGCGCGGAAGCGTTTAGTCCTTGTCAGCGCCCGGCGCCGGCGCCCCCTGGCGCGGCGGGGCGGCGCACCACTGGGCCCTCGACCTCTCCACTTGCTACACACAGAGTCGTGGCCTGCAGTTTTCAGCCAGCTCGTGCTTTCTCGCATAATGTGCAGCGGGTACGCAATATTATAATTCGGGAATCAACAAAAGAGCTTCTAAAAAGGAAAAAAATGGTCTCCGCACTGGGATTCCATCTCAGCACATCTCTATTTCAGATATGAAGGACCAATAAGACACAACTCTGACAACACAAGATGTTAGAGGCACCGATGGTATCCATTTTCCAGAACACCAAAACAAATATGTGAAAAGTGTAGTATAGAAATTACCATAAAACATACCACCACTGAGTGTTCAAAATGTAATAAATTTAGAGATAAAGTAGCTGTTCCACATGAACTAGATGACTGTGTGAATAATAAAATAGACTGTATTAACCATATGATTTTTAAAATGTATCCGTTTCTACAATTTGAATTCAAGACGGCTTTCAAAGATATTATTAGTGACATAATACCACAATGAAGACGTTTATACCATAGTAATACGTACTTTTAAATGTAAATATTAATGTAATGCAATAAATGTATACAAGAAGTCGCCGATGACCTCGAAGTTAAAAAGCAACTTATAATATAGCAAATAAAAAGAGTATTAGAGGAAGAAATTTGCTCCATTTAAGTACAGGGTTTATTGACGTTTTTGTTGCAAGTAATCCACAACAAGTTATTCTGTCAACAAATCTCAGATTTCTGCCTGCATCTCTACAATACTTTCACTTAACTTAAGTTACTAGCAAGACGAAGTAAAAAGGGGTGAATCTCGTTCCTATATGCAGAAAATTACTTCCTCTGAGACCGTGTGTAGTCAGAATCCACGTTAAGGTTTGGTCTCCGAAAAGTCTATCAATTGCAAAACCACTGTTCCCGACTGTTGGTCTCTCTAAGTGTTACTCTATATCTCAACGCTAATATTTAAACAATGCAGACTATTATCTCCAAAACTGATCAACATGAACCGAATCCCTTCGCCAAAAAAAACAGTAAGTACCATAATTACAGTATGTGCATACTTGTTTGTGATTCTCTATATTGCATGGCTGTGCTTCTATGGTGATAGCTTGAATTTTAGTAGTCACAATAATTTTGTATCACGAGCTAATAAGGCTTGCTTACTTGGTTGCTGTTAGGGTTGGAGTCTGGTTCATTCGGTCTCCTGGGGTTTCCATTTCGCTCGGTTACGATCCAGCAGTTCAGCTACACGTCAGACTGAAGGATTTTTCTTGTCGTTAGTCTTATAATTTCGAAGAAGATACAGTTAGTACATAAAGAACGGTCTCTGGAAACGAATGAGGTGCGTTTCATTAAACTTCATCCTAAAAAGTCTCAACAAAGCGTTTAAGAACTTCTGCCACAAGGGATCATTCAAAGACAATAAATACCTTTGTTATTATCATCAGCAAGTCACAGGGTCGATCTTTCGTCAAAGTGGATGTTTTTAGAAGAACCCTGCTTTGTCTGGGGTCAACTTAATGTAGCCCTCAACACATTAAATCGTTTTAGTTAATAAGACTGTTTCTCAGAGAATTAATGGGGAAATATTTAGAAGAGAGAAAGTCAGTAAATGAAAGAAAAACCGGCATTTTCTTTTCAAGAAACATAAATACTATGAGAACCAAACTTCCGCGACCGGACTCTGTGCCTACTTGGCTGTCCGGCAACGTTGAGGCCGTCTTGCTGCGACCTGCATTCCGCCCTGAGGAAGGTCGCAATATCACGACCGCAAGCTTTGCACCTGTGCCTAGGTCCAGGTCATTCAAGGCGACAATAAGTGCTCTTATATATTTTGTTTATTTTTAATGTGAGAGTTTTATTTCGTCTCGTCATTTTTTACTATTACTCTATTAAAATTATATCATTCTTTTCATTGAATACAATTTATTGTAGGTATATGATTATATAAACTTTTCTCTTATAATATTTCTCAAAAATATGTCATTGAAAGGGTTTATAAAAGTGACATTTATAAGTTTTCATTTCAATTATATCTGCAGTAGCATTTTTACGTTTCAAAAGGAAAGAGGTAATTTATTTCATGGTTATTCAATACGAAACACAAACGATAAATATATTATTTATTAACCATATTCATTTATTTACATATTTCATTAATATTATTACAAAATTTTTTTGTAAAATAGTATTCATTATTACGGCAATATCAATTTCTCTAAAGTTAATTTTTATTCTCAAATCAAGACTATTACGATAACATTAGCTCTTTTAGCAACAAAAATCATTGTACATCTTTTCTTATTCATTGGCCCATTTGTTTAACAATTTGAAACTTGTTATAGTTACAATTCTATTAAATCGCTGACATTTGCTTATTCTGACCAATGACAACATACAGTATAATATTGTGCCAAAATGGCTATTTCTAATTGCAGACTCACTACAAAAATATTTCTTTTAAAGGAAGAAATTGAGTTAGGAATCATAAAGATATTAAAATAAGTAAAATAAATATAGAGAAGCAGCTAAAGAAATGCAAAATCTTTTAAGGTCTTTCTAGACTTTTTACGTAAGAATGAGAGTAACACTGTAATATAATATGATTTGAAACTGTTACACAAAAAAATATATTTTCGACTAGCTACTGTATTTTCGTGATGTGTGGTTATTGCTTCCATTACTTAATGTAATATTTAGTGAAGATGTTTTTTTTTTACACTTGCACCGTAGAGTAGAGAGTTTTAAAAAATAAAATGAAATATTACTTAATGAATTAGTGCATTGAGAGATTTAATATTGTCAGCAAAGAGTCTGAAGATGCTCAAAAACAATGCAAATTATCTTGAAGAGAATCCAATGTCAATTCTGTTTTTCAGATTATTAAGTTAATTTATAATCATAATTTCCCAAGATTTCAATGAGAAAACAAAACATATTCTTAGCCTTAAAAACCTGTATGGTAATTACTGTAATTGGAAAACTTCTATTGAAAAATAATTGAGTTGAAAATTTAAAGAATTAATCTGAAGAAAAAAATGTAATACTAGTACTTTAAAATAATTTTAATACAGTACGCTTTTCTGATAGAACAAACAATTTTGAAAGGCTATATTCAAAGTATCAATAATTATGTTATAATTTGCATTCAAGTTTTCGCACCGCACGGTATAGCGCGCCTCGGCTCGGCTTGGTTCAGCTCACCGCCCGCCGAAATGCTTTGCAAGAATAGCAAGCGCACAGACCATCACTGGCTCATCTATGAGTATAAAATTTAATTTTAGTCACGTTTTTGTCCAAATTACTTAGTATCTATTATAGCCAATTATAATTTTTGTCTACTTCGCCATTATGATTAATTCCTCTTTCTGTCTCGACTCAGTGGACGACGAGCTTTGCACCTCGACTAAGGCAAGAGACTCTCCGGACCGACTTCTCCTTGTTGTTGTCTCTTCCAAGTCGCGCCGAGGTGCTCTGCGTCGAGCCACGCGTTTATAATCGCTACTCCAAGGAGTTCTTTTGTATTTCGTAAGCTCCAGCAACTCTGAAGATGACCAATCAATGCTACGCAATCGAAAAGTGCTGAAGGTAATAAGCTGAATGGCATCGAAGCTTCCTTTATTAAAATTGAGAGTGGAATGGGAAGAGCGGGGAAGGTGGACCACATAAATAAGGCCTAATATTATTACTACTATTATTGAATAACGTTATTTAACAACAGAAGTATCACATGGACATCGAAAAATGAACGACCTACCAACTGAACCGAATCATAGTACGGCAGGAAGTGATGTCAGCCGTCACAAAGTAAACGTAGCAATCGCAGTGGTAAAAGTAAAAATTGAAAATAAGAGTTATTCACTTGATTAAAAAATGACAAACTACAGTTAAAATGTTTTACATTTCGGATTTCAAAATGCGATTCGCCTTGCTGAAACAGCCCTCCTCTGGGCACCCTTTCACTAGAATCGCGCACAAGTGGTTGTTGCGCACAATAGGCAATTGGTGGGCAGGCGGCCTCCGCGAGTGCGTGGGGGGTGGGGGGCGGGGGCGCCTTCCCTGGGGAGGCCACGACAACGGGGCTTGTGTTCGGCTCCACCCCCGCCGCGCCGAGCGCCCGCCACCGGAATCCCAAAATGAAAATGAAGACGAAGGCGGCGAAAAGAGGCGAACGCATGACATAAGCAAATGAGAACGAAGAGGATGGAAACGGTGAAAGCAATAGCAACAGATAACAACTGCTGAAGCTGGCTGAGGAAGAATACGTAGGAATTTATGGCAGTGGGTTTGCGAAAAATAGGGAAAGAAGATTAGACAGAAATACGCAATTTTGAGAATAGGGTAAAAAGGAATGAAATTGGTGAATGAGAAATAAATTAGCATAAGGTTGAGATAAATGGAAAATATATTAATTTATTGTAAAGTTCTCTTAAATGGAATTATAGAAAAATGAGTACAGTTTAAAAAAGTAATTAAGGCGAATAGCAAATTTTTGCGATATGTGAAAAAAATGGGGAGAAAAATTACATAGGAAACAATGAAAATTGGAAAGAAGAACACGCAGAAAACGGCAAAGGTGAAGGCATACGAAAATATGCAGGATTCGTTATAAAATGAAAGAGGTAAAATACATTTTCAAAGCGTCCAAGCGCAATGAAGTGGAGTAATCTGCTGGACGAGTATTGACAAGAGGACTGCAGTTTGAGGAGAGAGGGTGCGGTCACATCTTGGTGACCTGGTCGTGTTCGGGGGCGGGGGCGGGGAGGTCGTCCTCGAAGGCGACGTTGATGTGCGCGGCGCAGGGGGCGGAGCCGTTGCTGCGCAGCGAGGGGCGCGGCGCCCCCAGCGCCACCGCCGGCACCGACAGCCGCTGCGTCGCCTTGGCCAGCGCCGGCGCCGACGCCGACGAGCCCTCTGCAACACGGTTTTGCTTCTCAAAGCAACCAACACAGTAGATTGGCATTGCGCTCACACATGAGTACAGCTCAAAGCTCCGTCATTCCATCTCGAGGCTCCCACAGGCCGGCGCCACAATAGCCGCAGCCTACGCGGAAGTTTCGCGTCACGTACTGACGTTTGAATTTCGTTGTGGAAACCAACCTTGTACCTTTCAGTAATTTCAATAGATTTATAATTTTATTGAATATATATTTAATGACCGCAATAACAAATCCTTCTTCGGGTGCGATAATTTCATGATTGTTAAGTGTCAGATTTTCTTGTCTTCTGAGATCACATTCTAAATTCCATTAGTCACTGGTCATTCTCGTTAATATTAAAAGAGTTTCTTGTCCTTTGTGGCACCGAGGTAAAAAAGATTCAGATTTTTCCTTTCTAGGTCAAGATAACGGACCCCTTTGCTTCGTTCCCTTCTATGATATTAACAATATGGTGGAAAATCGTAGATAAAGAAGGTGAAAGCATCGCATCGAATGTGCTCAGGAAACGAGTACCGGCATTCGCTATCTCGATCATGAATAGAAGCGAGCGGATTTGTTTATAGGGCGAGGCAAAACTGTCACCAAACGCTGTCCCACAACTGACGCGTCACACCCCGCACCGGACCCGCTGCGGGCCTTCATTTCTTTTTCTTTTTTGCATTTTTTAACCTTTTTAACAATTGGGCATAAGCCTTTTTAAAGATTTGATACTAGAGAAGATATTTTGTTTAAGACTATAATCCCTCTCTTCAATTTTGTACTTTTGAAATATTAACTATTTGCCATTTTCAAAAATTGAGAGTTCACTGCAAATTTTATTATCGTCACTTCCTTTATTGTTTTTGATAATACTATGTCAAAGTTTTAAAATATTGAACCTTTTTTAACAAAATATTAATTTAAAAAATTCACGCTAAATTACGTAAAAACTAATCATATTTTCAAAAAAATGCACTAGATCATCTTTCAGGATGTCTTTCAACAACAGATTTGATTAAGGAAAAATCTCTATTGTTATAGTGGTAGATAGACGACAAAAAACTTGTACTTAGTAATTTATCAAAAAATCAAGGAGTTAAAGGAAAATTAGAACTGTGCCATTTTTTAAGCGTTTTTATACTATACGAGAACACTATTTTTCAAAAATAACAACTGATGGATGATATATTCTTAAATGAGATATAATGTAGAACATATCTTTAAATATTGTAATGTATTTTTTACAAACTATTAATTTTCGCAAAAAATCTAGTTAAAGATAATGTGATACACAAAAAAATCGCTAAAACATCTCAACAGAATTGTAAGGACGTTTAAAAACTGGATATCAATAAACTGATGACAATTTTACTTTTTCGTGTACGCAGTGTTGAAAAAATATTATGTTGCAAAAACAATTATGCCGGGATTTTTGACAAAAAAGTACACGATTCGGATTACTGCATACAAAGTCTTTTTCAAAAGTGTCTGTCCGGTCGTCTGTGAACGAGATTTTCACCTAAATCGTCTCCATGAATTTCCAAAAAATTGAGAACCCCCGATCGATATGATCACTCTCGAGGCTCTGTACATTTGAAAGAGATCTTTCAATTTTGAACAGAGGTTCTTGAAGTACGAGGGTTGGACGAAAAGACATACAGAGAGGAATGAGGAATGTACACGGAAGCGGATCCAAAAGTTTCCAGCCTCACCAAGACATCGCTCAAAACCTTCTGAATAGTATATGGTCTTATCTTTAATTGCTATAATCCTATAATTTTGCATATCATTGAGTTCAGTGGAGGGGTACGCGAGTCGAGCAATGCAAGAAATCACATGGTGTTTAGCTTATTTACGACAAATCACTTGGGCTTACTGCCCGCATTTTAAAGAATGTTGTGAAGGTCTGTGTCTTCAAGGACTGGGGCAATTCGTCTTACAGACCAGTTTTGGAACCTAACAACCTCTACCACTTATCAAAACTGAAGAAAGACCTTCGGAGAATAAAATTTGTGTAAAATGAAAGAAGCAGTTTTTTACCATTTTGCGTACAAACCTTCGGAGTGTATTTTGAAAAGATAGAAATATGAATATACAGATTTAAAAAGATGGAGTAAAAGATGATTAAGTTGAAAAGGGAGACAATGTTGTACACAAAAAATAGAAGATAGGGAGCCGGAAACTTATGGAACCAATTTTATGTGGCAAATCAATGCAACATCTTACATATACCCACAATTCAATATTTCCTAAAAGCGGTAAAAAAAAAGAACTTTTTTGGGGACGTACGTTTGGGCTTGAGCAGCGCGCGGTCGATGTTGAGCACGGGCAGCTCGAAGGCGAGAGCCGCCGCCGTGGCCAGCAGCAGGATGAGCACCAAGTCGCCCAGCACGATGTGCACCACGTTGTAGTGCGTGTAGTGGCCGGGCGAGCGCGTCACGCCCAAGTCGTAGTAGAAGACGGCGAAGTGCACGAGGTAGGCGGTGTACGTGAGGCGGCTCAGCGGCTGCCACCAGCGCCACGACAGCAGCGCCGCCACCGGCCCTGCGCAACAGCGCCGTTGGCTGGGACACCACTACGCGCGCGTTTACTTCATATTCAACACTGAGAGGAGCGGGGAGAGGAGGGCTTTGGCTACGTCACCGCTTAAATGGGCGTACCAACTGTGGGCATGAACTTAACGCGCCAAAACGTGCCATGAGAAGTGCTACGATTGGTTTGAAAGTACGAGGTGGTTGCCAACGCCGTAAATTGGTTCGCGCCGTTCCGAGTCGAAGTCTTTCAACGTGCCGTGTTATTGAGCTGGGTGAGGACTGGAGAGCTCGTGTATCAAGAAAACTTGCGCAAGTAATACTTCTACTTTGATGATTCCGGGCGTGTCAACTGCTAAGGTCATTAGCCCCAAATGTGCACTGTATTTTTATCACGAGAGCTTGCAGTGAACGTACCCCACTGAATCGCGAGATCTGGTGCCGATCTACACATCGGCTAGCGGGGTTTTCCTCAATCAGGTATCTCCCAGCATGTGGGCACCTTCCCAGCCGGGACTAGCTCGAAACGCCTGGCTGGTCTCGCGGCGTGAGTGGTAGAGCAGTGCATGTGCGAGTAAGTAAGGGGCGAGGAAGAGAAAGGAAAGATCGCGCGCGATCCGTGCCCCGTTTGATACGGTACTGCTCTGGCATTCGCATGGTATTGATTGGAGAAACGACGGAAAGCATCAGAGCAGCCGGGCGCCTAATTCCCCGGTCAGAGGCACTGCAGTGTCTGGCGCTGGAGCCGGGCGTAGGGGGAAGGGAGGTGAGGGGCGCTACCTGCGTATCCGCGCTCGCAGGCGAAGATGAGCCAGGCGACGATGAGCCCCCAGCCCAGCGGGTGCAGCGACTGGAAGCACGCAGCCTCCAGCGCGTTGTACGGGTGGTCGGGCTTGTAGTAGATGTACAGCGCGTACGTGATGGTCCAGCTGATGCAGCCCAGGGACACCCACGCCAGGACCACCACCACCTGCACACAGCGCGCTCCATTACTTCTCCCCAGAAACGGCACGGCAGTACGCAGTCTCAAAGGGCGTCGTGTATTACTGGCAATTTACACAAATGTAATGTCTGCGTGCTTGTGTGCGCACGTATGTGTACCAGAGTTTCTACAACCGACTTTGTGAGTGAGCTTAGGTGGCACGGTTACATAATCCTCAGTTAAGCGAATAAGACCTCATAATAAGTTAAGAATTACATTTTCCTTTTAATGACATTCAATATTCAAGAAATTACAGCAATATCGATGTGTACGAAATCATTTTCAAACAAAAGAGCATTGAAATGTCGCTCTCGCCGGTGCCTGGTGCCTTGCAGGGAATTGCACCGTACTTTTGGCTCTTGTCTGTGCTACTGGGTTTACTGCATTTACTCTTTGGGCGTTCGATTTATAACGTAACCAACATAGGCTTTTTTGGTTGGGCAAGTAGGCGGCTGGCGCTGCGCGGCGGCCGAGGGAGTCTCATGAGAATTCCAATATTCTGTCTTCGTTCGACTCGCTGAAACGTAATTTTACGAATTTTACTTGTTGTTGAATGTACACAAGTTCAGCCAATTATTGACGATATTTAATGCATTATTTATGATATTTAGATAATTTGCTTTCGTTTGTTATTAGATTTATTGATTTACAATGTACCCTTGATGAATTCTATGAGAAAAGTTGGCCGTTCTGGAAGGAAGACCCTTTCTCGGCGGATAATTTTATTTGTGTGCAACGTGTCGTGCAATGTGCTGGAGTAAAACTTCAGTGCCCAGTGAAAATCAAGAGAATTCGTTGGAGGTGTATGTACCTGAAAGGACACGACAATTATGTTTCAATATATACATTCTTTTAACTTATTTTAAATTAATTTTAATTGCTTACATCTCTGTTATATATTCGTATTTTAAATTTTGAAAAGTACATTTCCGTCATTCGATGGAAATGCGACCTCCAGTCTGTTGGGGCACCAGCCGCCCTTGATGGGAATATATGTAGAAAGTAATTGAACTACAACGATAGATAATGTCAGCATGCCAGCCTGCAGTGGCGGTTAAAAACGTTTCAATAAACCGCTCCGCTCCGAGCAGCGAATATGAGTCGGCGAGCAAGTTCAGCCCTCCGATCATAGAGCGAGCAGCGGTCGGGTCGGATAAATGCGGGGGCGTCCACCAGGCCTGCCTAGGTAGCTCAGGCCGCATGGACCCAGAAGGGCACAAGTTCAATTCTCGACTCGGACAAGTATGTTTGTGTAAGCATTCATATAAATGTCCAATATATCGCTTTATAAATGCAAACGAAACTACGACAGAATTACCTAATGACCATTGATGGTCTACTTACAAAACCTCGTTTGTCTGTTTTCAGAATTTTTTTAGGCGAGACAAAAACGTATTTGTGACTCCATCAGCCAATGAAAAATCAACTATTTTCAGTCGCCTATAGAAAGCACTACAATGCGATTTTGCCTTCTGAGGGCACGTCAGTGTGTCAGCCAAACAAATGAATCCAATGACCACAAAACTATTTTCGTCAATTTTCAACTTACAAGGTGATGCAAGTAGACCATCGTTATGCATATCTCTATACACATTCCTCCAGCCTTTAATAAAGTTGAATGTACCATTTTATTCAACATACAGCGTAACATTAACTTCAGTACATAGCCGCTATATCTTATCTCTCTCCTATCCATATCGCCGTCCAACAATGAAATTCCGTATTGAAATTAACGACTGTATTGAACGTCGATTCTGTAATGAAAACAGCGTCGGCGACGCCACATTTTACTAGTGATCTCATAATATTCGATTATTAGATATAATGTAATTCTAAATTAAATAACTTTTCATATACTATTTTTGAAATAAATCAATTAATGACATTTGACTGATATGTCTGATCTCATTTCCGCAACCAGATTAATTTACTGCTGGACGTAGCTTTCTTTTTATGGAATTAACTTAGATCACCGAGATGCCACTGGGTGTCTAAAATGCACGGGAACTGTTTGAAGGGCGCCTGGCAGCAGCGGACTCACCGCGGGCAGGCGCAGCCGGTTCTTGCGCGTGAGGTGCAGCGCCCAGGCCAGCGCCACGCCCACCAGGAAGGGCGCCGCGCGCGCGTACGCCGACGCGTGGATCAGCGGGAAGTAGGAGTTGCGGATCTCGTTGCTGCCACACACACACACACGCGCGTCGCATCAGCACGCGCTGTTTTGGAAGCGAAAGAACCGCTTTTCTCTACCCCCCTCCCTCCCCCCCCAGACCCATACCTCCATGAAGTACATGAAGTGACACTTTCAGTCATGTTAACATGGAACCTTCAAAGCTGCAAATAAAATGCAGTACATTTAATATGTATTATGAAATTCATAATTTACATTTTACAATAAAAATAACAATCAAACATATTGGGACACTGTTTTCAACAGATTATTGTGTTAAAATAAATTTTTTCCTGATAAAAGTTGACTCAATGGGCTTTAAGCTCTTATACCAGAGATCAGCTTTTTAAATTACGGCTCCGATGATGACAAATACAACATTAAATCTAGAGATACTTCAAGCTTCACATCAAACGAGACCTTGAAAGAAGAAGCGTTGTATATTTTAGGATACAATTCTGATAAATTTAAATATTAACTAATTGATTCGCAAACGTCAAACATTTCCAAACAATGACAATGCAGCTCTAACAGGCCAAAGTGGATTTATATGGAGGATGTAGAAGCATGTGATACCGCTCTATCAATCTTGTATAATATATAATTAAAAATCTAAAGATTATGAAAGCAGATATTTATATTGTTGAGGAGTAATGAAAATATTGATTTCCGCCATTACCGATATTTTTTCGCGTACCCCCACCAGGCCCTTGTGTACCTCTAGGGATACACGTATCCTAGGTTGGGACCCACTGGTCTCTAAACTTAATTTTAAGGAAATTTTACGTTTGCAATAACGCGGTTTCACCGAAAATATTGTCACAAGGGCCATTTGGACTGAGAAAAGGAAAAAGAATCATCTGGCCAGAATGAAAGAGATGGAATCAAAGAAAAGAAGAAAGAGGCTGAAAGTTGAAATAAACATAGTCCATAGTCCACACCTTTAGCGCCCTCCCATGCTTTGCAATCATATTCTTCGCCATCTCTGTTGACATCGCAGGCGCTAAATCGACTTTTTCACATGTCAGCTTTGCCTTAGAACCACACATTTTCCAGGTGTAGTCATTAAAAGGCTGTCAATGTTACTGACAAAATAATACATTTACTCTTATCGTTATTTGAGGAAGTTTGGTGCAATGCAGTTACTCGATAACATTTTTATTTCCCAGACATCTGGCTTTGCTTGGTTCTATCAGCTCTCAATTCGCAGCACCTGCGCTGCCTTCAGTTCCAGGGGGGGGGGAGAGGGCGGCAGCGCCATGACTTGCCCACTGTCAAGATTATCCTTCTTCCGAACTGTCTCGTATATCGTGTGTCGTGTACTCTTCGTCATAGGGTGTACATCATTTTTTTCTGAACAGGTATCTATTCAAACTGTAATAACATTTCCATTTGATTCCAAGGCCAAAGTACCACAAAATTGAAAGAATGTTTTTCGGGATCGCAGAGCTCTGAGTCAGGGAAGACCGACAAGGGAACATTTTTTAATATCCTCTAAAATAATTTGTTAAAAAGGCGATTTTTAAAAAAAATGGAGCCTTTTTTGAAGAAAAAATGGATTTTATCATTTCCTGTTTTTCGCTCACAATTGCGCGAAATCTACACTTTTTTTCGTAAAAATGGCCATGACAATAATTAAAGAACATTGTGGAGAACACATTTGACGAAAAAATCTATCTTCAATCTCAAGGATATCCAAAATATTTCAATTTTTTATAATGCCCGAAAATTCCAATTCAACCATGAGAATGGGATCTATAGTATATTTACCAATATCATATTCCCAATTAAACTCTTACCATAATTTAGGGGTTGCCAATGTGCACACACGACTAACGGACAGAGACTTGCGGAGTGAGTGACAGACAGATCGACCGGCCGACTGACCGACGTTTTGATTTAAATACTTTTTGGGTATAAAGGAACCCAGTAGTGTATTTCGGTTAAAATATCGAAATCGATTTCCCGGAGCATTACATAACTTTGTATCGATACTTCGCATATAACTGCATGAGAAGAAAAAGACTTTACAATTATTTTGTAATTTAAAACTACTTCTATAATAGATTTAAATAACCCGCGTTTCATAAATTAGATTTTTAAGAAGCTGCTTTAAAGTGAAACTGATTAAACAATTAAACAATTTATTTTTGTGAAACTGTTTTAGAGTTTAAAAGAAAGAAAATTACAAAACAATAAAATAGGCTAAGTATTAAAATCTTAATTGATAAGTCTTTAATAACAAATGAACATAACATTTGAAAAGAATTAAAACAAATGGTGCAACTTAGTGGCACAGATTATACTCTTCCACAATATTTATAAAGCCGTATTTTAGTTTTACCATTAGAGAACCGAAAAATTACGAAAATGTAGGAAAATATTTTTGTAACCGCCAGTAGACGGCAATTGAAAGGCCAACAGAGTAACTTTCCTTAAGATTATCCTTCGTGCTTAATATTTTTGTGGTGATATAAAAAATGACAATCAGTCTTCTCCATGTCTTTGGAAGAAGTATAATTGTTAACCCACTTGTACGAATACATAGCTGATAACACTGAGCTTTGGTTTTGGTGCGCAAAGGATACGTCAACTTCATTTCCATGAAACGGGTCACTACATTGTAGACGAATCTGAGGTGAAAAAATGCCTTTACAATATGTGCTTTGGTAACTAATTTCACTCTAAATATTCCTAATTGTTCCGAATTTTAATGATATTGCAGACTAATAGACTTCAGACGATGAGAGCGGAAAAACGCATAGCTTGTGACTAACAGCTGTTAAACTCGTTTTGTTTACATATCGTTCATCACCCTTCACAGACGAAGCGGCAGACGCCTTGTCGACTGTATTGCATCACAGGCGAAGAAAACTGAGGTGCTTGGCTCGTCTCGTGAGCTACAGATAGGTGCGCCAGTAATAGAGATTAATTTTTTTATACTTCCCGTTTCTTTAAATTTTGATTTTGTATAGGGCGAAAACAGCAATCATTACCAATACAAAAGATAAACCATGAATTTGCTTTAGTTTACGAAGAAATGCGGGAAAATCGCAATACGATGAATGAATGGAGCTGATTTTATATCTAAAACACAGTTACTTTGTTTAGGCATTTTAAAGAACAAAATTTAAATAATTTTGAGAACTCAAAAGAGGATTTAGTCAACACATATTTTTGTAATGTTTTATTTATGTCCATTGTAATAATTTTGTATTCATATTAAAAGAAAAAATATTTACAAAAATTATCATTATACAAATTCACATTAAAATAAAAAATTAAAGAACTCGTGTCAGTTTACGTCAAAACCATGGAACAGCGCAGCAGTCCCCTATCGCGTCCCAGGAGGGCCGACCAACAGAGCTAAACAAAATGTGAGGCGTTTCTTGAGAAAATCTTTATAATATTATTCTGAAAAAAAATCATATAAAATCTATTTAATACTATTCATTTACATTTTTGCGGAAACTATCAATATTTCCAAAATAATGTGCAAAACGTTAATTAAAAAACGAATTGTGTATTACAAACTTCATTTGAAAAATAGTATCTACTTCAACTAGTAGTTCTAGGAAGATGGCGATAAATATTTACAACTTCTGCAATTTCAAAAATTCAGAGCTTATAGTGAAGTTCAGAGCTATCGGCATCAATATAATTCTATTTTATTGTTGCAAGAAAGTAAAAAAAAAGAGACACTTTTCAGAAAAATTTTCAAATGTCTTTGAGGCTTCATATAAAGTACCCCCAAAATTTAAATAATTATTTTCTAAATCCCATAGTATAGAGATGTTCTCTGATTAACGGACAGACGAACGAACGTTTTGAAAAAAACACACTTTTTCGGTATCAGGGGACGCTAAAATATGTATAAACGTTGAAATATTGAAATCGATTTTTCGCAGCATTCTCAATTTTTTTCTATACTACTTACATTACTCCATATATGAATACGAACGCATAGGACAAAGTACTTAATGGTGCTGTAGAATGACACAAACTTACGTTTACTATGAAATAATTATATGAGTCGACATTGCCAACAATATGTTTGCCAACATATAATTATTTAATTGTAAATGCCAACAAAAACTCGCGACAATACCAATATTACTGTTACTACTTGGTTTCGTATTCTCTTCGTTTATACGTTATTTCGTTCTAACGTTGGAAAGACTGACAGGGGTTTTTTACCATTGTTCTGGGAGGAGGTTTGGAATGCCCCCACGCCTTGAACAACTGGAAACATTAGTCTTACGAGGGCTGCAAACCCACAGCCTTGTTGTCCGTGTACTTTTAATCATCTCACCCCCCCCCCGTGCTGTGTGAAGCCGAATCACTTGACCGCACTAATGAATTTGAAACAATAATTCGGGGGACTTCGAGTCAAGCCAAGTGATCGGGGAATATCAATTTTACGATTAGTTTAGGTGGTGTTCACACACGCACGAACGGACAGATAGGCAAGCAGATTATATATATAAGAGAGAAAGAAGGGAGAGACATATTATACGGGCAGACGGGCAGGCGGGCTGGTGGTATTAATAACACTTGTTCGGTATCATGGGACTACAAAACGTGTATTTCCTTTGAAATCTCGAAACAATTTTTCCGAAGCAATTACCAAATTTCACTCCGTGGACAATCGAAGCAGATTAATTTCCCGTCTTGAGAAAAGATTTGCGGTACTTCAATACAGTATAGGCTCCATAACGAATTTCCCTTCCACTATGTTACTAATTACTATTATTGACCACAAGAACACTCGGGGCGTGCCAGGCTTTAACAGTGGGCCTGCTAGTGTCTGCCGCTGCCGCAAGGTCGCAGCACGCGTCGGCCAACACGGCTAGCTGGCCGCCGCCCCCTTCCATTACCCCAGCAATCAGCCGGGGGGGGGGAGCAACGCCTCCCTGAATACAGGAGGCATTGGGCAGAGGCGATCTGTTGCGTCCTGGCGGCAGAAGAGGTGGCGTGGAGAGGAGAGCGCGGCGAGGGCGTGCATGCGGGACGGTTGACCTTTGCTGCAGACTAAGAAACGAATCCGCAGGTTTTTCTCGTCATGGAGTCATGTCCGAAACTTGGCGTTTCCTTTTGTAATCATTTAGTCGCAACTATTAATGCAAGTAAGTCTTCGCAAAATAACTTAACATTTTTGCATTTGGTGATATTTAAAATCAACCATTTCTATAATAGCCAGTTTCTATATTCCCCCCACTTAGGTTCTAAAGTAGAGAAGACCTCATATTCATTTACAGCTACGTTTGTCTGAAATTTTATAATAAAGTTTTATTAATTGTTTTAAAGCAAGGTAGACTTGTGTTGAAAATGGCTGGAAAATAAAATTATCGTCACTTATTCCTTATCGTGGAAATGAAGCGTTCTCACTTGAACATATATTTTTCTACGCATACTTTGAATTGAATCTTAAAGTTGAAATTTATACTGCAGTTTTGCATCATCGATTTTTTACGTTCGCAAATTTTAATATTTTATTTGGCTCGCGACAGAGAGATTACATTTGAAAATTTCGAAAAAAATCCAAAATTCCAATTTTCAGAAGGATAGTGCGATATTCGACATTGATATTTTGCACACATTGTTATGGGTAAAAGCATACAAAAACTTAGGGAAGTGATTCTTCTTGTTAAAAAATTACTCTCTGCAAATTGAAAATAGCTCATTCGCGTTCGATTGTTCTGCTTGCAAATATTAAAACTTTGCTGAATTAAAACATTAGGTAGATTAGGTTATTTCATTCCACTAATTTGTAGGCTAGAGTTTACTAAATCCAAAGCATTTTACTTTAAAAAGCTTCAACATTGAGCTGAATGATTTACAAAATCGTAAATGTCTAGACATCCGAATACCGGCATGCGGCTTAAAAAATGACCGCGGTTTTGGACCCACGTAAAATAAAAGAAATTTAAAAAAAAATTTTGAACAATTAAAACATAAGATAATTTACAAAACAAAAAGTTTTTTTTTTCTGACATGTTCGGGTGATCAGTGCTGGACCACTAAGAGAGGATTAACTCTTATGACAAGAAAAAAAATCTCGTCAAACCAGGCTCTCTTCAAGCCCCACAACTTCGTGTTTTCTCTCCCTTCGTCACAAACTCTCCTCTCAGTCGTTCGTTCTGACTGACGGGGGTGGGGCACCTGAATTATCTGCGTCTGGTGTTTGTTGACGCCTTTCTTCTGATGTCTGGATCCCTTCACCTTCTGAGCACTATGAACCGGCAGTTGTCCCTGGAGGGGTCACACTCAGCCCGGTTCTTAAAAGCTTTAATAACTTAATAACAAACACTCCAACAAACGTTGGTGGCGTAGGCCTTTCCTTACATTGAGAAAATAATATTTATAAAACTGGCGTATTTGAGGCGAACTCTATATTTTCGGAAATTGTATGAAATTAACCATATAAAACTACAATATTGCTAATAGAGATTATTTTTTAATAAAATCTGTTCTAAAAATATATCTTTAGAAAAGGTCACGCTCATTTTATCAAAGTAGTGTATGCGCAATGTTCACTTAAAATAAAAGCAATATAAAAACATCAAAAACGGCTCCAACATTTTTCTTTATTTATTTTCTCGAACATAGAAAACTACGTGTATAATAATGGTTCAGGGCCAGGGGCGGATTAATATTTTTGCCGCCAGTAGGCACATCACATTTGCCGCCTCCTGTTTAAAATTATATTACATTTCAAATTGTAACGTTTCAGTAACAATTGCTCATTAATTTTAACGTTTTAACTTTAAAAGTAACAGAACATTTAGCACATTGTTTTCAAAAATTAAATATTTTTAATGTTAAAATTTCAACACTGAAACGTTAACATTAAAAGGAAACTAAAACTAGAATTGCAACATGTTTTCTTTCGTCAACGTGTCTGACTTTCAGATTCATACACTTCTGAAATCATAAGGTATACTCTACTGAAGTAAACAAATAAATAGCTTAGATTTTTATTTACAACTGAACGATTAGAATATTACGACGTTGTAACAGTTTTTATAATTTTCTATTTTCCATTATAAACAAGAAATATAATTTTTAACTTATTGGATGGGTTTTTTTATACAGTCTAAATAACGATTTATTAATTATAGTTAATTTGTCTATTGATGTAAAATTATGAGACGTGCCTTTTGGTGAGCAAATTCATCAATAATTATGGTATAATCTAAAACGCTGAGATAATTTTCTTCGATACACAATAACGCTACTGTCGGTCGATACTGTGTCATTGTAGAACGCAAATAATCTTTAATCCTTTTTAAACAAGAGAATGAACGTTCTGCTGTGCTATTGGCCACCGGAATACATAAAAAGATTCGAAGTGCAATGTCAACGTTAGGATAAATACATTCTAGTTCTTCTTTCCGTAATCACTTTAATAAAGCTGCAGGATTCGTTGGCTTAACATCTTCGTCAAGGATTTTTAAATACGAACTTAAATGTATTAGCTCAGAAACAAGCGATTCTTTAAGATCTTGAGGAAATTGTGAACATAAAAATATCGCTGCTTTTTCCAAATCTATCAAAGATATTTTTTCTATTTCAATGACAGCCTTAAATTTGTCATATACATCTTTGTTCGCTTCAATCTTATCACTTCTTATTCAATTCTGCAAGTAATTTATCAACAATAACCAAATAAGTGTCGATTTTAAACTTGTCTCGTGCGGCCAGTTCTGCTGCATTCTCATTAGTTTCATCACATTGCATTTTACCTTTCCTTTTTCTTTTGTTTTCCGATTCGTACGTTTCAGTATTTGACAGCTTCTTGCCCTTCTCTTCAAAAAGTTCAAAATTATTTCTGTTCATTTTAAAAAGTTCTACAAGCGAAGTGTAAATACCAACCACGGAACTTAAATCGATATCGACTTTTTGCAGTTGTTTGTTCGACGCATTCAAGCGGTCTAAAATGAATCCCCAAACCTCGGTCATAATAGCAGTTTCAAGTCGTTTTAAAGCAACAATAAGACCTTTAGCTTCTGCACGCGTTGACGGTTTTTGTGTAGAATCATCAGATATAATTTGAAGGGCATCTAAAACATTTTGCCAACGATGTTTTAGAGCCTGACATGCATCATGTGGCTCAACAACAATTGTGGAGCTGATAAAAGCACCCTACTACTCACACGTAAGGCTTTAGTTCGAGCAAAAAGTTACTATCGCTCCCAGATGTAACAACCGATTAGCAATAATGAACTTCGGAAACTACGTTATTTATAACTATGCGTTAAGAAACGTCACTAGCTTCCACCGTACCAACTCAACTGGAAACACATTGAGGATAGAAGCCTATACTAGCCCATAAAAGGGATGTCATAAGTATCAGGTATGCTACAAAAGCTGCCTCGTCCACCACAGCCCTTTTGTGTATAACGATGTCTTCTTTCGATTTCAACATCTGTACAGTGATCATCAGCAAAACAAACCTTTGCATTAGGGAAAAAAGCAGATCCTCGCCAACTTCAACGTTAAAATCATCAGACAAGGTCGCTATCGAATTCCATCTTGGACGTTGCGTTGCATCCCGTTAGAATCATCGTGGCATGAGCATTGTAAACATCTCCCCCCAAAGGTGATTGAGATAAAAGAATCCAAGACATGTAAAATACGTACCAAAATTAAAGCAACTTTTATTTCAGACGTTAAAAATTATCAGGCAATGGAAGCAGTGATTCACACTCTCGACAAGTGAATTCAATACCAACTGCACCAATTCTACAGCTATATTACAGTTGAGAAGTATGCTCTCACACTCGTCCTCGTCCTCCTATTCGTAATCTACCAGTCCTCATATACTAATTATGTTATTCATACGAAGTCCGTAGCTGCGGTTCACTAAAACTGCAGGACAAACCTGAAGTCAAACCAATCAGGTTTTTGGTATCAAGGACCCATCAAACGTGGATTTGACGACACTAGTGGCGACACATTTACTATATGCAGGAACAAAAAAATTATCCTCTTTTCGTGACTAGGCACAATAAAAGTTTCTGTCAGAAATTCGTCGTTTTTCCTGCTGCATTATAATACTTTCTCTACGCTGAGTGAGCATTTGGCAAGAAAGTAAAAGGAATACTTGGTAATGGAATTATTGAAAATAGAGATGAGGATGTACAAGAGCTGGAGACGAAGGGCACGCAACATAATGTTGTGTATACAATTATACAGGATGGGAATTCAAAAATAATGAGGAAACCTTATGTAGAAAATGTGGGATTCAGGGTTAATAGGGTCCAAAGCATGAAACCAAGAGTCGTCCCATTTATGGCATATGAGCGTGTGTTTGTGTAAGGAAGGTAAGAGTAAAGAGAAGACACTACGGGGGTTGTGAATAGAAAACTGACTACCCTCTGCCAGCCCACAGGCATGCCTCACCTCACGTCCTTGGCGTCGGCCCAGGGGTACCGTCGCGCGTAGGTGATCCAGAAGGTGGAGGCGAGCGGCACCACCAGCAGTGTTGCCAACAGCGCGCGCCCAACGCGCGGCCAGCGCCACAGTGGCCACAGGAGCAGCGGCGACAGCCAGTACAGCTGCATGTCAGCCGCCAGGTACCACGTCTGCACCACACACTGCACCACAAGCCATTAGAACACACGACACTGCGCAACATAACGTTAACATTTTTATTGCTCTCTCGAATATCTGTGTAATGACGGGTCGTCTTACAAATTCATTCTGATTTTTCTCAAGTGATACTTATTATTTCAACGATAATCATTCCAAACATTTGTTCGTTTCGCCTGGACGTTAAAGCAAAGCATGTTCGCAAGGGAAGCACTCACGAGTTCGCTGGTCACCGGCTGGTAGTTGTTGATGTACAGCAGGTTCTTCCACCAGTGGTGGCGGCAGTTCTCCCTGTGCATGGCCATCACGGGGTTCCAAAGCGGCCCGCTGCCCATGTGGTACAGCAGCGTCGCGTACACAGCCACCACCACCGCGTACACGGGGGTGATCCTGGAGAAGGATCCTTCACAATATCCAACTTGTACCCCGTTCATTCAAAATTGTTTAAATGGTGATGGCGGATTTTGTTTCACTGTAAACATTTTTCTCGTTTTCCGTCTTTCAAACTCGAAAGTTTGATTTTTTTTATTAATGTCAGTCACATAACTTTATGGATGATGTACCATCTGAATGTATGAAAATTGCAAAAGGTTGAATTGTTTTCTGCATTTTTCTAAAACTACAATATTAAAGATAGTGCCTATCTTCAAATAATTTTTTTTCTACAATCATTTTTTTAAACTTTTGCCTTTATTTATAGAAAATTTTAGTAGTTTTCTCGTAATTTTGTGTGAAATGTGGGCAATATAAAAATTATTAAAATCAAGATTTTCTCAAAAAACTGCTTCAATTTATTTCTTTATCTTTTTATACTCAAAGTGCTAAATACATTGGGTAAAACGCCATCTTGTGCAGGGTTTTGTTTTCCCAAAAAGAACACCAAAGTCACTGAGTTTAAATAGCTCTTACAATAAATCTTGTAGATTGCAGATGTGGGTTGTTACTGTACTTTCTCTTTATGTGTTTTTTTTTCCGCGGATGACGGCTCGCTGGTTGGGATCTGTTCAATTGAATATTCCCAAATCTATTTCGTAAAAATTCCTCTTTCATAATTGTGTTATTATTGATTAATTTTTTGATGCAAATCAACGTTTTGGAAGTTCCTGAAACCATGCTTGACCATGGAGGTACCTGATACCGAAAAAGTGTTGTTTTTTCTACGGAGAAAATTAGTGCGTAAAACCATTCCCAGGATTTTCTCCCAAATGGATGTGCCCTGATTGATCTGACACTCGAGGCCCTGCGACTGTGAAACATCTCCTAATTTCTGTGGGTGCCTTTCACGAAGATCATAGACCGTTTGCAAAGCGTTCGTAGCTGAGAAGAGGTCTGAAGGGAGAGGGCGCTACCTGATGTATCGGTAGACGTAGAAGTTGACGAGGCTGAAGGGGCGGCCGGCGACGCGGTCCCGGATGAAGCCGTGGGTGAGCAGCAGCCCGCCGATCACGAAGAAGGAGTTGACGGCCATGGTGCCACCGTTCGAGATGGGCATCTGCGTCCAGTCGTACTTCAGCTGGGGAATTCATTAACGCATCAGTTAAGTTCTTCTTTAATTTACATTTGGGACACCTTGGAGCTAATACTAATGACGCCATAGGTGATAATCTACTTTGAAATAGCGATAAGAGGTATTCCGTGAATGATGAGATGCAACGGTGGAATGAGAGAAGAGAAACCTGGTGATATTTCACTTTGTTCACCTCAAATCCACGTGGATTTGCTGTGTGTCCAGCCAAGGCCCACGCAGTGAAAGATGGAGGCACTGGCCAATAACGTCAATAGACTGCTACAAAAGAGCTAGCTCGTATAGTTTCAAGAGGGTAAACTAAGTAAAAATGAAACTGTATCAGTAATAATCCATTATTTTCTATACAATAGACGTAACACGTTGTAGAAAATGTTCCAAAATTTTAGTTTTTAATTCAATTAAATGTGAAATAAAATTTCCCATCAGTTACGTACATTCTAAACTGATATGAATCATGCGTCCATGATCCTTGATTAAGTCGCTTACTGTCTGGTCTTCGAGCAAATACTTCCTAAATTACACAAGCATTCCGACCATCGAAAAAATCGAAATCATTCACTCAGCCACACAAAAGGGGCTCGTGGGAATGGCTAGTTCTGCCATCTACGGTAAATTTCATGGTGGGAAGGTAGATAGATTTTTGTTTTATTTGTTGACGGTTTTGGCGGTGTATTTGCGTACCTGTGCAGTTATTCAAGTGCTATTATTTAAAAGACCGCCCGCCTCGACACGTGCGTGGGAGCGTCACCCCTACAGCGATTGCTCCGAATTTTGAAACGTCACTACTTGCGGGATTCTGCGTGTCCGCGCGTATTCAAACGCGAATAGAGCAGACATAGGTACGTGGAATAAGCCTGAATGTATTGGGAACCTTGAAAAAGAGTGTGGAAAATATTTCCATAGAAAATTAAAAACAATGAAAGCCACTGTTGTTCTTGTACGAAGAAGTGTTTGAAGGTTTATGCTGCACATTTGTGATTTTTTTAACAAACTTATTTCACAAATCAAATGAGATTACAAGAAAGTAAATTAAAACTACTTCTATAAGATGACTCATTTCATTAATTTTCCCTTCTGTAAACATTCTGAGCAAAATCTTAAACGTCAGTAACCGCGGGAATCCGGGCTGGAAATCCGATATCACTGAATAGTGTGAAACCCTCGTTTGTAGGAAGGAATTGGCAAAGCCTTCAACGGGAAAGAATCCACACTCACCCCCTCGAGCACGACGTCGCTGTTGTCGTTGGGCGTCTCCACCATGACGCAGTACTTGTGGAAGAGCAGCACCCACGCCATGCTGAGGAACTTGATGCCGTTGACGGACGCCATCTGCCCGTGCGCGCGCGTCGCGAACAGCGTCGCCGCGTTCTTGCGCACCGAGAAGGCCAGCCACAGCGCGTCTGCGCAGCGGACACGACTCTGGGCTCAGAAATCGTCACGGTCGACGTCTGGTCGGCCCTATTTATCTCAGAACCAAATAGCGTAGCGTAGAGCCACACATGTGCTGCTTAAATTTTGAGTTTTCATTAGCAGAAGTGAGTAAGAAATATTTTTGACTAGTCGGTCGTAATAAGACACTTCGCAGGATATCAAGAGATTTCTGTGAACTAAAACTGAGGACGAAGTGCAAACATGCGTGCAATGACTGCAAAAATATCTCACAAGTGCGAAAAGATAGTCGCAATCTAAAAAAGTTACTACAAAACCATATTTCAATCTTCCTGAGTTAATTTCCATAAAGATATGTTGAAAAATACGCAATTTGGAAAGATAAATCAGTGACAATTACGAAAGCTATTTATTGAAATTCACACATTTCCATTAAAGTCTTTTCTTTTGGTCTTTCAAAGAACAATTAACATAACGAAGCATTTGCGCGAAGCATTTCTACACATAATACAGAGCAGATATTTTGTTATTTCTCTGTCAAATACGTCATTACATGTAAAATATTTGACGCAAAACTTTTTGTACCACAAATGAGCTCGTCCAAAGACGATCGGTATCAAGCCAACAATACGCCCACAACATTGACTATGAGACTTACTGACATGATCACAAACTTTGTGCAAATTGTTGTGCGCGGCGATGGTGTAACTGGTAGCATATCGGACTGTTATACCCAAGTTGGCAGGTTCAAACCCGATGGAAACCGTGAATATTTAAAGGCGAAAAATCCTTCGTACGCCTTCCTTCGGAGGAAAAGTAAAGTCGGCTGGCCCGTTAGTAGATTTACTTGCATGTAAAAGATCCTCTGGCCTAAATGATGCCTCTGAGCTAAATTCAAATCGCCTGTTTCTCGCTCAAAAAATACCTCCTTTCTCTGCCAGTTGGTGAAAGGAGCGTAGCGAAACTTGCGTAGTCAGACGGAAGAGCAGGCATAATAGCTCCCACAGTCTCCCACGTAAAAGAATGCATAAAGTCAATTCAATTCAAATTTACATTCCTCCAAAAACTAATTCTTAATATATTTTCCTGTATACCACTACGCCCAATTATCATAGTCTCGTTTACGAATATAATAATCACTTTAAAACTTTGTCTCCAAAATGATTACTCTTCCCAAGTCTACGCCTCGGAGAGAAGAATAGAATACCTTTATTGGTGTCCGGATGTGTGACATCATAGGCTGTGGATGCTATCACGATGGCAAACACCGTCGCTAATAAAAGGCTGCAACAAAGCAGTCACTGTTATATTATATGCATCCAATTGCATGTTGATTTTCTCAAATTAAAAAAATATTTCCTGAGTTTGTGTTATTGCGCATTATATTGTTTTGGACAATAACGCACATAATGTTTTGATAATTACTATAAATGTTAATAAATAATTTTGTAATTATAAATTAATAACGGGATTAATGACCACAGCAGCTGACATGGCTCGAAACGTCAACCTATCAATCAAGTGGGCCCTTCTTGCTCAAGCTCGACTGCCGTGATATGATTGGTGGAGCGAGTAGTTACGTAGCAAAGATTGATGCTTTGAATGTTGATTTCGACGGATTAAATAAGTTTTCACAAACAGGAAGCTCATTTCAAGTTTTTGAAATTCGCAGATATTACACTCGTCAATGTCTCATCAAAGAGACAAAATGCAACATGAAAGCACAGGAATAACACAAAGCGAGAACCAAAAACGAAAGGTATTAGCGGATCGTGAACGACAATTGAAATATGCTTTAAAATGGTATCTAAAATAACTTATTTTTAATTAAATCCAAACAGGTGCTTGAAAAAACAGGAAATTGTGATGAAGAATAAATAATATTTGGGTTAGTTAGTTGAGTTTAGGTCGTGGCCGCCTAGGACGCAAGGCGCTGGGTTCACCGGAGCTGCCCAGGACGGCGTAGCTCCTCGGAGGCCCTTTGACAGTGCCATCGGACGATGGAAGGGCCCGCTCCCTATCGGGGCAGCGAGCCTCCGAGATGCGACTCGCGCAGAGGCACAATACCCGGCGGTATTATTTTCGATGCCATTTTAAGTCCCTTTCTAATCGTTATTCGCGACCCGCAAGCCCCCGGCAGGCGAGTTTGAGTCAGTGGCTCTTGGGTCACAATTACTAATGATTCCGGGCCACTCAACGTGTAAGGTCAACTGCTAAGGTCACTCGTCTCGTAAGTGTAGTGCATGTTTTTGTTTGGGAGGTGGCGGTGGTCTTCACCCTCTGGATGATGAAATACGTCGCCGACCTTCCGTCGGTAACGGGTTTTTTCCCCAACCAGGTGTCTCCCACCAGCGGGGCACCGCCCCAGCCGGAGTGGTAGTGTAGTGCAAATGTAATTGTAAGGGGTGGGGGATAGGAAAGATGGCGCGCGCGGTCTGTGTCCCGTCTGTTAGGGGCAGCGGGGGCGCGGCTCACATGGCGCCCCAGTCGGCCTCGTCGAGCTGCGTGGCACGCGCGCGGTAGCAGTTGGCGGCGCGCACGGACGCGCGCAGCTCGAAGGGCGGCGCCTCGGCGTCGGGCAGCAGCAGCTCCGGCATGCGCTCCTGCAGGTGCGCCTCCAGGTCCTCGGGCGCGCACGACGCCGGCAGGCACACGGCCCACTGCAGCCGGTGGCCCGCCAGCGCCGCCAGCAGGTGGTTCTGCAACGAGCCAGCTTTGCCAACACCCATAGCTCAATGCATTGCTTCTTGACAAGAGCACGTAGTTTATAGCATTATTTGTAACGGCTATACAATATTATACTTCTAATTGACCCTACAAAGGTGTTCCCAAAAATATTCCCCCTCGCCGGGATTCGAATTCAAGCCCTCCAAGCCAACGGATCAGGCACTTCATCACTCTACCTGGCCTCGCAAATTCAGTCAATAATCACTCATCTCAGCCATAACATTCACATATACCAACACAAATTCTACATTTAAAATTGCATTTTTATTCAGCTATAACATCTTGTAACAATGAGAAGGAATTCTCAGAACTTTAAATTAAAGAATTTTAAATTTTTCGCGGCGTTGCTTTACCATTGTCATATTTCAAAGCAAAGTCTCGTTAAGTCTAGCAAGTGGAGCTCGGGAACTTCCATTTGGCAAATTACACTAAACTTCTCATATTCTTAATAAATTATGTATGACATTTCTAAAAGTACTGCGTTTTTAAAATAGATTTCATTCGACAAAGAATTCTATCATAAGTATTGCAATGTTAATTTATGTTTGCAATTTTCGAAAATACAGAGTTCACCTAAAATGACCAGAGCATCTCTTTCTTGGCTGTTCTTTGCTACATACGAGGAAACAATTTTTAAAATTTGCAGTCTTTTTAAGAAAAAAATTGTTTGAAACTGTTTTAAAATTGCCTGTTTTAAATCTATTTTGATAGGTAAATAATTTAATTAATTTGTTTTCGGCATTGAACCCGGTAGAAAATTCTTCGCACTTGTACATCAAGTACATTAATATAACACAATAAAGAGTACTAATGTAGTTACACTAGTACAATATTATTTCATTTTAGGGATGCCTACTAAATGCAGAGGTCCTTCACAGACTACTATATCGAGTCATGGCAAGATATTCCATGACTCGATAGTCTCAAAAGAGTATTTTCCAACGGTTCTCTGTTTCCTTGGACATATTTTTCCAATATGGTAGTGTCGTGCTAAATAAACATGCAGTCTTTTCTGAATTTGTCTCCATGCCGGATTTTTGGTTTATAAAATATACACAATCTTGCCTTTTACTTACGCAAGCCAAATGATTCCCATGTCCATCCTTTATTGGAAGTTTTGTGTGCCAGGAAAGTATCTCCGCACCGAGCCGAATCAGGGGTCTTATTAAAAATTGCATTTACTTTACTAGTAACCAGATACTGGGAAACAGGTTAAGGGGACAACACTTTCAACAACTGTTGATTGTGCTGAGTACGCAATTTACGTTTTCATTTAAGCCGCAGCTCATGCTACCATCATAATTTCTGCTGCTCGCGTTCCCCCCAGCAAGGTGCCGCTACGGAGGTACTCTCCCGGCGCTGAATTTCCTGACGCATTTCCCCTTTCAACGAAAGCTGCTGCTCCTCTCTGAACTGGAGGTCCGAGGAACGGAGAGGCTTCGTTGGACTCACGCTGAAGTTGTTGGCGGGGGCGGGGGCGGGGGCGGAGGCGTTGGGCGGCGGCCACGTGCGCTCCACCGCCAGCCCCGCCAGGCAGTACTGCCCCCAGAAGAGCCCGTGGCCGTCGGCGTCCAGCGCGTGCGTCGCCAGGCACTCGTCGAAGTTGCCCAGCTGCACCACGTTGCCCGTCAGCAGCCCATCGGGCACCTTCGTCGACGAGTCGTACACTGTGCACACGCACGCACACACACACACACACAAAATTGCAATTGGCATCTCGCCAAGAGATGTACTTTTATCTAAATTTGAACATCGCGTTAAAATATAAGTTGGCAAAATAACCTGAAATTCAATTACACAGCCTTTGCGAGTGTCACAGGGCGCGGAAAACTTTGTAAGAGATTTTAACGGCATTCATGTTGAATATGTTTCTTACACAATGATTTTTATCATTTTATCTAAGGTCTTAAATTCACTGTATCATGTTTGGTGGATAATCCATACTATGCGATTTATTGATTACTAGTGATTCGGGGTACGTCAACTGCTAAGATCAATATTCCCTTATGTGTAGTGCATATTTTCCTCTGATGGAGATTTCGGTGATCATGTCCCGATGGATGGCAAGATCCGGCGACGACCTACCGTCGGTTAGCGGAGTTTTCCTTCGAGCCCCAGGACCTCCCAGTCAGAGGACTGCAGTGACATCAGTTGATGCCCTGAGCCATCTCTCCCGATACCGTGTGATTATTTGGAGTCGGTTGAACTACATTGATTACCTAAGGGCAAGCAACAGCGTGCTGTGAAGGAAATCGTGCTGATCAAGATGTCGCTACCGCACAAGAATCTTCAGGGAAGTAAATTACAGCGCTAAACATCGGAGATGTCGCAAGAAAACGGAGAATCTTGAGTCAAATACGAAGTAAAATTGGTTCCGTAGAGCTTACTATGTTCACAATAAACTGTAACTTTAAATTAAATAAAATTGAGCAAAGTTTTCATATTCTCTCACATGACGAGGGAAAATGGGAAAGAATCCCCCGCTCGAGGTCAGTTTCTGCGCGCAGGCGTCAGTAATTCCAATAGCAGCTCCGCAGTCCCACGCGGAGCCGAACTAGAGCTGGGAGCTTAGAGCTTGTCCCAGCTGGGGCGGTGCTCCGCTGGTGGGTGATACCTGGTTGAGGGAAAAGCCCCAGCCGACGCGTAGGTTGGGACCGGATCTCGTCATCCAGTTGGAGATCGCTGCCATAAAAGAGCACTACACTTACGGGACGAGTGCCCTTAGAGCGTTGACGCGCCCAGAATGGAACACGCGAGAGCGGCGGGCGTTGCGTGCTTACTGCGCAGCGCCCAGGGCACGGCGGCCAGCGTCTGCTGGCGGTACCACAGGCTGTCCTCGCGGCACTGCGAGTTGTTGGCCGCCAGCGGCGCGCTCAGCTCGAGCATCTCGCTGGTGATGTTGCGCATGTCGAAGCCCAGCGCGTGCGGGTGGTGGCTGGGCAGCGGCAGCACCAGCGTGGGCATCAGGGCGGCGGCGCGGACCGGCGCCACCCACGGCGCCACCAGCGCCAGCGCCAGCACCAGCGCCAGCGCCTCACAGCGCCTCCGCATGGCGGCGCTGCGCACGCGCAACAGTGCAACACGCCCATAAGCGGATTCATTCACAACGCCTAAGACGTTAACTTACAAGCTTGCAAGCTTCTGTGCTTAGGCTGAAGAAAGACATAAGAAGTGAACCAATCACAGTACGGTAACTCAAACTCGAGTATCGAAATAGGTTCGAAGTCGATAGACTAACTAATGTCATTTATTCTAGATGGCTTTGGACTAACAAAAGACCGAAGAGTACTATAGAAGGGTACTGTATCGAACTCTGCAGAAGACTGGTTTGGTTCTACCCTTCTGTCTATCTACCATGGTTCTACTGATTGCGTGCTCTTGGGCACTAGTTTACATCGAACTCATGGGTCATGTACACAGTCGACATCTCGAAATCGATTCTCACATCCAACCAATAGTAAAACTAGAATGTCTCTTAGGAAATGGAAACTCTAGTTTTGCTTACGTTTATATTAAACATTGTTATCACTTGAATCTATCACTTATGTTAATGTTAACGTCTGTACGTTATGCTGATGTTTATGTTTGCATTGTGAATGGGCTGATCGCCTTAAGTCGGCGACGGTTAATACAGTTTTACACGTATATTTTCCCATATTTTTTCAGTACTGGAATTGGATGGGTAAAGGAGCTTCGTGTTCATGCCGTATTGCTTTGTTATCGAAACTGGATAAACGAGATCTAGCGTGTTACACAACGAGCTAGACAATACTACAAAGACTGACTGAAGCGCCTCCATCTTTGCAACATATTGAAGCTTGAATGTTTTTTTGCGGTCAAAGCTGCGCCCTCTGGAGAAACAGTATTCTAGCGTTCCGTTTGGCGCTGGCTTCGGCCGAGTAGGCGTTGGCCGCTCGTTATATACATCCTCTTACTCTACGTTCCACGACCAAAAACTAATCATTTAAAAACCGAATTACAATAGTAATTATGTTAGGAGAACGAATTGAGAAACTTTAAGTACACATTGCTTCCAGCATCGGTTATTGCCACAAGAATGGAAGCTATTGAAATATTGTAGTTACCATAACGAGGTTCTTTATTAATATCCATGCGTTATATGACATTGTCTTTATCCTGACCTATATCTTCACAAACACTTTCCCATGCTTCATTTTTTGTTTTTCTTCCTGTTTAACTTCTCTACTAATTTGACTATACCGTTTTCGGTCTTCAATATCTTGTGTGCTTAGCCATGTATTTTAGACAATTTTCTTTTGTCTCAACTTTCCAGTACATATAATATTCCACCACAAGCCACCTACTGTTTCTGCCCCGGCTTTTTCTATTTCTCCTTGGATGTTCTCGAAAGCTGCTTTACGACATCAACAATTCCATCACAGGTTGTTTGAGTAGTTGTGCGATTCATAGCTAACAGTTTCTTACGTAACTTGGTTTTGTATAGGAAGGTTATAGATGTATCACACAAGCAAACACATTTTGTATTCTTTCTTTCCCTGTGGTATTGGATGCGACATGAATATTTAATTGTGCCTGCTTTACATAAGGAACATGAAATCTTGATTTCAACAAATTACTGCCTGACTCGGCTCCTCCATAGAGACTGACATTTTCCACTTTTATTTCAAAACAGCTTTTAAGCGAAAAATTAACATTCCAAAGTTACAAAATTCATGATAGATTTTTACTTTCTCTTTATTACCTACTTATGGATAGCTAATTTTCCGGCCGAACGTGACGATTTTTGGTCAGAAAAACTAATTGTAGAGCCTTGATAAAAAGTGAATATTGATCCTACCAGTAGAAAATTACTGACTCCATCCGTTCGTGTGTGAACAACGCTAGCAGCTATGTTTTCTCCCTAGTGACGATTGTACACAATTAGTCACAGTAGTCACAATTCCCAAGAGCTTATTTGCTTAAAAATTGTCCATTTGTCGACTATGCTGAACGAAACGATGCGAACTAGCTGAATCTATCAATTCCGCTTTAAAGAATAGCTGTCTCCCAAAGATTTCTGCTCACTTTGATGGCAACTTACCGTCTTAAACATCATTTAATGGCAGAGTATTTGAAGAAGTAAGGTTTTCTTTATTTGTTTCATTTGAAGATGAGTAGCTCGTAGTGCTTCAGCATCGCATCTCCAAAGGGACAAGCGGTCTTGAACCCATTGTGAGACGTTTGTGTTGTTACACAACTGCTTCGAATACTGAATGGTCGCGTGTGTCATTCTCGAGCGAAGGTTGGAGAGGGAGGTATTGTGCTTCCTACGCTGTCGTCATGTCTGCGAATTAGTTCAGCGAACCGTAATTGAATGTAATGTGACAAGCAGCCCCGACATTCCTCTTTTTCGGCATCTAAGATAAAAGTGACAATGATACTAAATTGAAGATGTAGAAGACCTATCGAGGAGGATTTCAATTGGGAAAGTATTAAAAACTCTTAACTCTTATGTGATAATGGGAAATATACGATTTTCAATAACTTTTCACAATAGACAAAGAGTAAAAGCAATTGCGGATTTGCTTTGTGTAGGACAATTGAATGCTTTACTAGATTGTCATAGAGAAACATTGAAGATAATATGTCCGGTATTATTAGTGAAATTTGATATCTACTCAGTAAATTACAGGTATCAGTAAATTAATAACATTTATAATAAATGTCAACCATTCATTGTCATTGGTTTGTCCAAGAAAATACTAAAATTCGTCCATATCTAACATTTTAATTTTGAGCTCAAGTCGGCATGGATTAATGTCAATCAACTGGAACAAAATTTCGGTCTAAATGAGTCTCATCAAATGTCAACATTGCAGAATGACGCTCTTCTGAACATGCGAATAATACTATTGATTCCCTTGTTTTCACGACAGAGCTCGTACCGTTGTCCTCGGCGTAAGTATTAAAAATGGAGAACCGTTCCCGATAAAGTCTAGTTCATTTATTTCAATTTTCATTGAAACTTAAGCAAAAACTACTTCGAACATTTCGACCACCGCACATTGATTTATTTTGGCAAACATTTTGTCGAAAAAAACAATATTTTGTGAAAAGTGTATAACTTTGATGGAGATTTCTGTAAAGTACACCCAAATTTTAAAAAAATAATTTCAAGTTCAGGGTTTTGTCCAGATAGATCAGTTGCAGAATATTAGTAGTATATGTAATTAATAGTCGTATTTTCGAAAACCTATATTTGGTTTCTGTCCTAGCTAGTGTTTTTCACCATAGGTAAAAGTCACAGACGTTTTGAAAGAAAACAACCAATACTTTTGTCGATATAAGGCTCTTTACCCACTCCCACCCCCACCCTCACCCCCAACGTGCATTAAAATATTAACTTTTCGACATCGATTATTTGCAAAATTACATCAGTATCTCTGTACATATGTCTTGAGTAAACACAGTGTGTATAAGTAAAATAAAATACTATATACGAATTACATAAGTAATTGATTAATGGTTACTTATAAATAATTATTTGCTCCCTTTCGAAGTGGGACATACTGATGTCACTAATGATAGCAAGGTGGCCTACCAAATTGTCCAGTTTGCTTCATCTGTCACATTTTTTATATATCTGCTTTCCTTGCACGAAAATATACATTAAAATGTTTCTGAAGATAGGAATAGCTTACTAAAAACACACACAACTAGTTAATACAACTAAAGCTATTGTAGATTAATTGAACTTTAGCAAATATCCTACCACAACACGAACCCATTTCACAGACATAAAATGATTCGAACGAATGAATGCACTTAAAACACTCGAAAAGTTCGAATATTATTTTTAATCGCAGGGCTTTGAGGCGGATCAGGGCGATCAGGGAATATTTGGTAAATATCCTACGACTAGTTAGGCGCTAATGTTGATCACAGAAGGACAGACATTCAAAAAACGCTTCTCTGGTGTCAAGGAAAAATAAACGCGAATTCTGATTACAATAAACGTGATTACTGATTACACATTAGAGAAATTTACTATATTCGGGAACAAAAAAAACTTTTCTACAACTTCATAAAAAATACAACTTCTGTGCATCGCTAGCCGTACGAAAGATCCTCATTTTTTAATATCCATTAAAAAAATTGTTGCCCATACAACTATCTTGTTTCCGTGAAAAAGTCTTTATTACACGGTTTTAAAATACTTCTCTAATCATGACCCTATGAAATGTATTGCTATATTGTCCGGGACATCAGGCGTCTTTCTCCCATATACGTTTACAAAACCTTTTGTATTAAACTTATAAGCAGTTGAAGAAAAAATTTTGCTCATATTTCGGGTGTGAAGTTTGTGTTTCTTTCACAGTCTCGATTGAGATTTTTTGCCTCAAACTACGGTCTCGTCAAAATGTCTCATTATCGACCGTGAAAGAAATAGAAACGAAACAATATGAAAATAACTATTTCACGGAATTAGGAACCGAGTAAAGAGTTCTTTTTATTGAAAACTGGGACTTTTTGCACACGCGTTACGTAACTTTCTCACCATTACTTTCATTACTCCGTATATACGTACGTAAACGAGAAAGTAATAAATTGCCCAATTTGAATTTCTTCTTCGTACCCCAATACCTAATTCCGAATTACTTGCTATAATTTCAAATGTCCTATCAGGAAAAGTGAACTTCTTTAGGCAAGGCAGCTTCTTTCAATCTACTCTAACAGAATAGTTCCACATTGATTTAAGGATGGTAGCGACTGGTATCCAGTAGACTTATGATTAAAATATGTTCGTTTCATTTGCATCTCCTTTATTTTTACATCGTGTCCTTGTTACAATTGAATCTTGAATCGAACTTTGTTACGATTTTGAGATGACAATTTTACTTTCTCGCACTTCTTACGAAGAGGAACTTATGTGATCTTGCGCCAGAAAACAGCGCGTTTTCGGCAGAAAAGCTCTCATTGCCAAACCTGGGAACAAAAAAGTGGATAAAAATATTGTTCCTATGGATAGAACGTGCAGCCAGAAGCCATGTTTTGTGGTTGCTTAAAACCGCAAAATGTCGGTCCGCCCGTGTTCAA